CATACAACAATGCCTCCTCGCCAATCTCCTTTTACTTCTTTGCTACTTTCTTTATTGACACTCATTTATCTTTCCCCCAGTATCGAAGGGCAGGGGCAGCCGACAACTTGTAATGTGAGACAAAATCCATTTATAGTTAGCCAGTCTACGACAGGAAATGCTCTTGGTGCTACCTTTTACATTGACCGCAATAATCCCTTTACTTGCTATGGGGTAATCACTCAATGGAGGCTCTGCTATAAGAGGAGTCCTGGAGCACTGTCTGATACTATCAGGATTGGTGTCTATCAACCTAACAGTGATGGAGATCATTATACAAGAAAAGGTCCCAATTATATTCACTTGCAGCTCCAGCGTAGTGACTGTCTCAATATTACAGCAGATCCACAGTTGATAGTCCAGGAAGGTTATGTACTAGCATTTTATGCTTCAGTGGCTTATATTAAATTTTATGATAACTTGACAAATGGGCACTTATACAAGTCGGTTACTTTTCCTAGCTCAATTTTAATAGGGGTTCTAAATAAAAACATAATATAGATGTAACACAATGTAACATTGATTGATGGCAATAAATTTTATTTTCAGCCTGACCCACCTCATGCTATCAAGACTAAGCTCCATACTTATGGGAATGTTGCTAATAACAATTCAAAATGGAATGAATATGGTCCTATATATGAGGACACTGATACATTGTAGTTTTTATGGTTTAAGTTTTTTCATTGTTTATTAAAAATAAATATTTTAATTTTTATGATTGGAGTGTAGGGTGGGTTCATGCTCTCAACGCCCACCATAGATATTAGAGTACAGCATTAAAGCATTTCCTGTGCTCTAATATTTATGCCCCCAAAAAACAACTATGCACAAAGCCACAAACTTGCTTAGCAATGTTTCTATTTCTTCTTCTCTGTTCTACAATTAGTACTAAAATCACGCTTGCTAATGTCTGCTCTCGTTCCCTTCCTTCACCAAATGGTACCGGTGGTGTATTCACTGGTGGAGTACAATTACTCATTCCTTCATGGACCTTCTCTTGTCAAGGAACTATTGATGATTGGTTTGCTCATGTCACTGGTAATACATCAGTTACTGTTGGGAGTGGAATTGAGTTTCAAGTATTAAAACCAGATCCTGTTAAGAGTAATGTCTACAATCTTATATATGGTAATACGTATGGAGAAGGTGGTGAATCATTTAATGGCAGTAGAATAGAAATTAATGTAGTAGCATCATCTAATCAAGCACTTCTTCCAGTACGTCCAGGCTATATAGTAGGAGTATACATTGATTCAAATGCAGTTAATCAGTTAAGTCTATTGTATGAAGACACAGCAGAGGATATCGATATTTATTATTGGGAGAATCTAACAGGACGAATGTGTGATCTTTCTTTATGTGATGCCAAAGTGATGAGAGGAGTAAGACCATTAATTGGTTGGATATTCAGTAAGTGTACATTATGTATTTTAATATTAATTAATAATTTTGTAGACAATATTACTGATAACAATGTTCTATCAAATCAAAAGGACACAATAGAGTTACTAAAATTCAATTCACCTGAATATTGTAATGAAACTGAAGTATCATCATGTGCTCTACCTTCAGTAGAACCAACAATGTCTTCTACACTTATTTCATCATCAATATACAGGTATATAATACTTATAACTAATATGTTTTGTAACTCTCTCCCTTATCTTTTTTAAACAGATCTCCATTTTTGATTTCATCTTCACCCTTCTCTCCTTCTGAGTCAACTCTTCCATCTTCATCTCCAACAGCTACTCTTTCTTCTCCAGAAGTTGTTCCTTCATCTTTAGCTACTCCTTCCTCTCCATCATCCTCTTCATTAGCTACTCCTTCCTCTTCATCATCCTCTTCATTAGCTACTCCTTCCTCTACTCCAACCTCTTCATTAGCTACTCCTTCTCCATTAGCTGCTCCTTCCTCTTCTCCAACTCAAAGAGAGGATGATGGTAGTGTCCTCATAATTCAAGCATCTATAGCTCTTGGTTCAATAGTTCCACAAATCATAATCTTAGTAATAATTATATATATATACTGTCTGTACTATAGAAACAAGGCCAGCGTTAAGTTAGTGACTCCTCAATCTATAGACAGCACAAACAACATAGGTAGGCCATGAATATGAAATTGAATTTCATTTCATTTAATGACAGTAGGTGATGTAACAAATGATGCTAATCCTTGCTATGGTGTGAATGTCACTAGTACTGGTAATGATATTGCTGTGCATGATGAACTAAAATGTATTAGTGATTCACCAAATATGATCACAAGTTAGTTTTACTGATGATGTAAGGACTGTATTTGTTAAATATCATGTAGCTACTGAGGCCAACCCTTGCTATGGTACTGTAAGTAATGAAAGTCAATTCCCTAGTGGTATAGAACCAGGAGCTGATGATGATGATGACTATATATAATCAGTGTTATTAATGGACTCCATTGTAGCTTGTTTGTTCTTTAGTTAACTGTCTATTTGGACTGCTGCATAAACTGCTTTGTTATTGTCATTTTCATGTGATAGAAGTACTGTATATGCTCAAATGATTAATGATACATTAGGTTAAAGGTAAATTATGATTGATTCATTTGATTCACACTAGTGAATGATCAAGAGCATCATACTCTGTCACGCTAATAATTGTGATTCGACTTTTAAAACTTTTACAACCTACTAGTTTAATTAACATGCTCAGTAGAAAAATGTGTTAAAACAAACAATGAATGGTCTGATCAGTTGTACATGCACAAGAATATTTCCAGCTATAACAGGTAAAGTGGTCTGATTGTCAAGTCATACAACAATGCTTCCTTGCCAATCTCCTTTTACTTCTTTGCTTCTTTCTCTATTGACACTCATTTATCTCTTCCCCAGTATTGAAGGGCAGGGGCAGCTGATGACTTGTAATGTGAGACAAAATCCATTTATAGTTAGCCAGTCTACAACAGGAAATGCTCTTGGTGCTACCTTTTGCATTGACCGCAATATTCCCTTACT